CCATTACAGACTACCATATAGGTAGGTATGGAACAGCCAAATACCAAAGATAATGCTGAGAGCTCTTAGCTCTATTTGCACATAGCTCTTCTCAGAAGTGATGAGTGTTTGTGGTGCAAAGGTGATTGGTTTCTCTATACCATTAGGAAAAATGTTGGCGAGAACTGTGCCCACTCCATATGGTGAAGCATCACAAACCACTTGCAATGGAATCAAAACATCAACGTGCATTAGAACGTAAACTGACGTCAACAGTTTCTTTACTTCATTAAATGCATGCACACACTCTTAAAGATGACAAAACTGTCACCAGATTAGGAAGAAATTTACTGCAGCAGTTAAGCAGTCCTAAGAATGAACATAACTGTGAAATGTTCTCTGTCAGTGGTGCTTCAAGAACCATCTCCTCTTCTCTGGCAATTTCCTTAAGCCCAGGGCATCAATTACATATCCAAGGTATTCAGCTGAAGATTTGAAAAACTCACAATTGTCTTGAAAAATCCTTAGTCCATGGTCTTCCAAATGTGTCAAAGCAGAACCCAAATTTCACAGATAATTCTCTTGATCCTTTCGTGTAACAAAGATGTCATCCAAGTAACACTGAACTCCATTCAGTCCCTTCAGAATCTCATCCACGGCTTTCTAGAACAGGGCAGGTGCTGATGTGATACTAAAAGGCAACCTTTTATAACAAAGTAAGACTTTTTGTGTGTTGATTGAGCCAGCATCTTGCAAATATCTCACAATCTCCATTTGTAGGTATGCATTGAGCAAATCCAATTTACTGAAACACTGTCTACCACTAAAAGTATTTAATAAATCTTCAGTGTGAGGTAGTGGTTACTAATCTGCACATAAAACTGGATTAAGCATCACTTTGAAATCTCCACATATTAAGACTGAGTCTTTCCTGATCACTGGTACAATGGGTGTAGACCACTCACTGTGTGAAACTGGTGACAGGATACCAATGTTCACTGAACGGTCCAGATCAGCTTCCACCAGATGCTTCAGAGTATAAGGCACAGCTCTGGGCTTGCAATATTTTGGCTGGCTGTCAGTGAGCTTCCCTGAGACGTTTATCTGTCTAAGTTCTTTCAAAAACTTTAGAATGTCTGTCCAGTATTTCCTGAAGATTTTGAGGTACTTCTGTGATCACTTTGATCTTGATCCAATTCATCTTGAGCTTCTCAAGTCAAGATCTTCCAAATAATGGTGGATACTTTCCTTCAATCACATAAAAAGGTAAAACAACTGATTGGCCATCTAGTTGAACTTTTACCTGGCATATCTCTTTTTTGGACTAATTTTTCCCCAGTATAAGTCTTTAAAGTGGACATTTCTTCCAGAGGAACTTGTGGCAATATCTAGTGATAGGCAGATACAGAAATCAATGAAACAGTATCAAGCTCCATTCTTGTGGGAACTCCTTCAGTCAGATGCCATCCTTGACTCCAGCTTCTGATAAAACATGAAGTGCTAAATCTTGATTTAAAAAACCAAGGATTACTTGTGGCACCTTAGAGACTAACAAATTTATTTGGGCATAAGCTTTCATGGGCTAAAACCCACTTCATTGGATGCATGCACGAAAGCTTATGCCCAAATAAATTTGTTAGTCTCTAAGGTGCCACAAGTACTCCTTGGTTTTTTTTGTTGTTGATACAGACTAACACGGCTACCACTCTGAAATCTTGATCAGTGTCCCTACAGCTCTTGTCTTTTTCCGCATTATGAATTCCCAACTTCCATCATTTCTTAGGTTCAGTCTTCATAGGTGTCTTCTTGGATGTACAGTTACTATGTGTTGCTGGTCTCTGAACTGTGTGACAGGTCACAGCGATGTGTCCTCTCTTCTGGCAGTTCTAACAAATGACCTGGCATGCCCAGTAATCCTTCTCCGCATGTGTAGTTTGTGCACTATAGCCCCATGGAAATTCTTCATGTTCCCATGGTCCTCTGTCTCACTAATTCAGAATATGAACTCCTCAGTTCATACTAATGTCCAGAAAATCCTTCTTTGCAGTTTCCATAGCAACAGTCACCTCAACAGCCTTCTTGAATGTGAATGGTGACATAGTCAGTAACGTCTTCTGAACCTGGTCATTGCATAATTGAGAGATAAATTGGTCATACAAGGCATCACTTAATGTTTGTCTGAACTGACAGTGCTCTGACAACATCCTTAGAGAAGCAACAAACTGTGCTACTGATTTTCCAGTTCCCTGATCTTGCTGATGGAACTGAAATTGTTCTGCTATCACTGATGATGTAGGAGAAAAGTGTTCCCACATTGTGGCAGTAATTGTGGCATACTTGGCAGTTCTTGGCACAGTTGGAGACAATAAATCATGTGGCAGTCCATATGGCTTCAGACCAGTCACTGTCAGCAAGATTGAAATTCGTTGTCTGTTGGGAAACTACAAATTACCCTGCAAGCTACAAATTGCTCAAAAAATTTGAGGCACACCACCTGGGATTTTAGTTTTCAACAAATTCATCATCATTGCCCACAAAAGGTGCCATTTCTCTGCTCTCCTGCTCTTCAAGCCTCCTGGATGACCTTTTCTGCCACAGAGAAATTCTTCCATTGTTACTACACTGTCTGTGCTCGACACGCTGCCCCCCCGCTGGTTGTGTGTCCACACTGCAAACTGCAGAATTCTGCCTTTGGCTGGCTGCGCTTGTGCTCTCTCTGCTAGCAATCGACCCTCATAGCAAGTGAAGGCTCCCCTTCCACTCTCCTGTGTGGCAGAGTCCTTGGAACCCCAACAAGGCTGGGGGGCTCAACCCACAACCTTGTCATGGTCACTCAGGTCAGGGACTAGGGTGTCCCCACTCCGGGGTGCTCTCTCCACACTGGATGCTTCCCTGACCCACTGATCATTACATACAGTTCAAAGCAAATAGAATTTATTAAACAGCAATCGATTTTAAAAAATAAGGAAAAAATGGGAAAGGCTAAAGGAAAAGACATGTCACCCCGCTCGGTGGCATGGGGACATCACAACCAGCGTCTCTGGAATATCAGGGCTGTTCACAGTCTGTTCCTCACACATCCCAGGCCTCCTGCCCAGGCTCTGGCTGTGCTGCAGGGATGCTGCAGGAACTTGCTCTGGAGGTGGCCACACGCTCTAGGTGGCAGGACCCATCTCCCCAGTGTCATCTGCCCCGTCGGGGTTACGATCCCCCCTCCAAGTCTGGCCTGCAAGGCCTCTTGGCTGGGGGCATCTCCCTGCACTGGGCCCGCTGCCCAGGGTCCCCCTTGTTCTCCCCAGCTGCTCACCACACCCAGCTCCGGACTCCTCCAGCCCCAGCTCCAGCTCCAGCTCCACCACTCTGCCTCAGCACGGCTGCTGCTGCTGCTCTGCCTCCAGTTCCCTGGGCTGCTTCTCTGGACCCCCTGGCTCTGGTTGCTGCAGCTCTCCCCCAGGACAAGTCTGCTCTGGGGGCTGCTTCTGTGACTCTGCTCCCAGCACCGACCTGCTTCCTGCGCTGCTTTTCTGGCTCCTCTGGATCTGGCCCAGCTCTGCTCCCCAGCTCAGCTCAGGCCCCTGCTTTCTCTTTAGCACAGCCCCACTCTGCCTGACCCAGGCAATTCCAGCTCACATGGAGGGCAGAACCCCCCTGGCCTCCTGACTCCCTGATTAGCCTGCCCACCCTGTCAATCAGGCTGACCTGGAGCATTGGCCTCTCCCCATTGTTCCTGGGGACTGTCAGTCTCAGGGTCCTGATTTCCCATCGACCCTTCCCCTTTCTTTTGGTACTGGGAGCTAACAACTAAAACACCCCCATTGAGTTTTAGTAAGGGGACAATAGTCCCCTTACACTAAAAGCGAGCTGATGGAAAAACAGCTTCTGCCCTGGTGGTTTTATTGTCAGCTGAAAAACTGAAATTGTGCAAGTGAGGCTTTGCACTGGGGAGGGGGGGAGTGCTCAAACATTTAAAGGGACAGCACACCACAAGAAGGGGCCAGATCCTTGGCCCAATGGTGACTGATTGGTAATGCCCATAAACATACATTCATCTCCCTTCTGAGGCCTCCCCTGCCCAGGTGAGCACTCGGTTCTGAAAGGCTGCAGCTTGGCTCAGTGTCCTCAAACTTCAGCTAAACGCCTCCGTTTCTGAGAAATCTTGGAGCAGAGCAGACAAGTGGGGAAGAGTCTCCCCCAGGATCAGTGTCTCAGCCAGACAATGCCTCAGAACGTGCCGCTCTGACGCTGCTGCCTCTGCCCAGGTTATTCTCCTGGCTTTGCTATTGAAATGTGCATTTCTTAAAGGGCTGGACTGAGGCACCCCAGCCACAACATGCTGACAAGGGGCCCTGTCGCGGCCCTGGCCCCATTAGCAGTAGTTCTGGAAGGGGCCACCCACACAAGGGCTGTCTGCTGCGGGTGGAGCCTGTGAACCTATTTAGACAAGCAGGAGGAGAGGCTGGGGGCTCCCTCCCCTTGGGAATCCCAGGGGCTGGGGGTCCTTTTTCCCCACAGGATCAACAGCAAGAATCCTCTCCCTCCCATTGAGAGAGAGAGATACTCGAAAAGGGTCAGGGAGCCCCCCCCCCATCTATTAGCCAAGGTGTCTATGATTGGATGGGGGAGCTGAGTCATATGACCTACCCCCTGCTGCCACACAAAGCCCCTCTTTTTGCGGAGGGGTTGGCTGTCCCCCAGAGCAGTGAGGCTTGGTGTCAATGTTACATACACATAAATGGAGCCGTCCCCTCTCATGGCACTGGGCTCAGGCTCTCTACAGACTCAGACAGGAATCGCTGTATCTGTCACATTTGGGGCATGTTTTGAATATTTTCTTTGCAACCCAGAAGGTTTGAAACATTCTCTTTTTAATGAAAGCCAAAAGCCTGATTTTATCACATAACTCCAGTAGCTGGGGCCTAGACATGGGTTTGTAGTGCCCCTGTTTCATCTGGCCCTGCCTCCTGCAAATTCCACCCATCAGATGTGCAGATTAATGGCTATCACACATGGTGCCCCTGCAGGTGAAACTCCAGGAAGCCCTGGGCCCTCTGAGGCTGGAGCTGGAGGAGGCCCTGGAGCTGACATCTGAAGAGGAGGAGAAAACCACAGAGTGGCAGGTGGGTGTCTGGGTTTATCCTTCCCCGAGCCCTTCCCCCTGCAGTGTTCCCAGGGTGAGGGGCCAAAAAGCTATAGGCTGATATTACAATCTCCTCTGGCTGTTTGCTCCGAGATGGTGCCATGGTACCAGGAGCGGGAAATGTTTCTGGTGGGGATCACAGTGAAGCATACCAGGGGACAGTTCCTGTCCCATGGTCCATGGCACAGATTCACCCCCGGGCTCTCTGGGGGCAAGAAGGAGATGACATACTCTTACAATGGGTGTGCAGTGTTTGCATGTGAGTCCATTGCCCCATCATACCCCCAAACCACGCTGAGTAACTGCAGACGCAGACAGCCCTCAGGAGTGCCAGATCCTCAGAGGTGCTCTCTGCACATCCACACCCAGGGCACCGGGCTCAGTGTGGGCAGATGTTGCACTGGCCTTTAGGAGTTTGGCCCTAAGGGAGCAGAGCTCAGGGCAGCCCTGGGACTCACTCAGCTGAGCAGACAGAGACAGCCCTTCTTCTCTGCCATCCTCTGCAGCCATCATGGGGCCACTTGACTCATTAATCCTCAGCTGCTGCCTCCTACAATTATAACTACATGGCTGTGGGCAGCCAGCCGGCCTGCCAATATTCACAAAGCAGATACTGTAGTTGTAGAAGGTTGGCATTTGTGTAGAATATATATATTCTATTTGTTCACTCACCCCCACTTCTGGTATTCGTTCCATACACCCAACCCACACTCATTCCACACCCATTGTCACTACACCCCCCAACAACTGTTTTGTACACACACACACCCCACAGAGTCACAGTCCTTATGCTGAGACACCTGCCAACTCTAAAGGGAACACCCCAGTCTGCTGGGAAAGCCCTTCTGATTGGCTGATAGTGATGGGCAGCCAATCAGAGCTGTGACGTGTGCTGCTGGAGAGCCTGGTCTCTCAGCCTGTGTAGCAGGTAGAGCTCCCTCTTCCTAGGTACATAAAGGGCTGCCCCATTTGCTGCCCCCTGTCTCCCCCCCCCCATACAATTGCCTCTGTGTGCTGGTCCATTTCCCCCCCCCCTTTGCCCCGCACCACTGCCTCCAGGCACTGACCGCTACCCTTCATGTATCACTGTCTTCAGGTACTGGCCCCTATTCTCCCCAGATCTGACCCCCTACTGAACCCCCAGATTCCCCTTACCACAGGAGTCTTCTGGGGCAGGACAGTGGTTTTAGGGAGTTGCCAGATGCTCCAACTCAAGCATCAGTGTTCAAGGGGTCACTGCCTGCCCTAATCCAGTGAGAGCACTGGGATCTTCAGGACAAAGGACACAGTCTTCCCGCCCTGCTGCTCAGACCCCCCGTCCCACAGAGCAGGAGAGGCTGAAGGTGGGAAGGGGATACAGGAGCAATGGTTGGGGTGGGACCAAGTAACTTTTTGTAAGAAGGAGATTTTGCAATTCCATTACACTGAAAACCTTCCCATGTGCGTGATCCCTGCAGCTCATGACTCTAGCAGCCCTGCTCCCTAATCTGTGAGGCAGACTCGGCACGCCATGTGCCCAGTTCTGACTCTTGGACTTTGTTCCTTTTCCATTTTTTACTAAAGGAAAAAGTAGAGAATCGGAGACAGTTGATCATGTGTGAATTTAAGAAACTGCACCAGTTTCTGAGTGAGGAAGAGCAGCTGCTACTGCAGCGACTGGCGGAGGAGGAGATGGAGACTCTGCAGAGACTACAGGACAATATAACAAAGCTCTCAGAGCAGAGTGCTGCTTTGCAACAGCTGATCACAGAAGTAGAAGAGAAATGCCAGCAACCGGCTGCTGAGCTGCTGAAGGTGGGACTGTTAACATTCTCCCCATCCACCCCTTCAGCATTAAACTCTCCAGTCAGTGACTAGATCCCAGGAATTAGTGACAAATCCTATTTCCAGTGCCTGGTCTGACAGTTTCCCAACACAAACAGAGGCCCAGGCATGAGGCCCTGTCAGCGCTGACACGCACAGTCTGTGTTAGAGGGAAAGGGAGATGCAACGGGGGCTTTGCCGGTCAAAGGGATGGAACGGAAGGAGCAGGGGGCTGATGTGGTTCCTTCTGTGACTGCTGGATCTTGACCCAATGTGGCTGATGAGCAGAGATTCTGAGCCATGTGGGGAGGGGGGCTGGGGGGGGCGGGGCAGAAGGGGGAGCCACAACCCAGAGTGAGCTCTCAAATTAATGAAATGAAAGGGTCGAGATTCCATCAATGGGTGCCAGCCTGAGACACCTGGGGCCTGATACTGGGAAGAGCTGAGCACTCACACGCCAGCTGAAGCGATGAGAGCTGCAGCTGCTCAGGGTGAGGATCTGTGCACTTTCTCCTTAGATTTGCAGCAGGAAGCTGGACAGGAGGGAGACTGGAGACAGTTTGTGTGGAAGCTCTACAGGGAAGTGGAGGGACAGACAGAGGCACGTTAGGGATGTTGCTGCTTTTGTTCCAACAAAGCTGCTTGTTCAGTGTTCACAAAACATCACATTCTTCGCCATTGTCACATGACACCCAGGTCCTTTGAGAATCAGAACAAGGATAGACTGGGCACCTGAAATCAGCGATCACTGCTGAATATCCTACACAAAAGAGTCTGGCCCTGATGTGTTAAATGTTGTGAATTAATTCTGATCAAGTGTGGAAAGTCACTCAGGATTTTTGCATGTGGTGTTAACCCAGCTCTCTGACTCTCTGTCTCCTTTCAGGATGTGAAAAGCACATTGATCAGGTGTGTTCCCATTTCCATTTCTCCTTCTATTCCTGTGAGCAATGTGTGCGCAGAGCAGCCAAGTGATGATGAGACGTTTTCTTCACAGGAGTGAGAATGTGACACTCCAGGATCCAGAAGCTGTTTCTCCTGCCCTGAAGAATGTGTATAAAATCTGCCTTGACATGAAGGAAATGCTGGAGAGATTCACTGGTCAGTGAAAGTTACTGTCCTGGATTTCCTTTACATGTGGGTGGGGAGGAGAATTGACACAGGCAATGTGTGAGTCTTCTATTTGGGGTGGCTTACACACAAGCACTAGAAGCTCCCTAGAAGTGGGGGCAACAGTGCCCAGACTGCGGCCCTACCCCACCGAGGCTCCACCACCCACCCCCTCTTCTGAGCCTCCCTGTTTGCCCCTCTCTGCCCCCTCTCCCGAGCGCCCCCTGCTCGTCCCTCTCCCGAGTGCCCCCTACTTGCTCCTCTCCCGAGCACCTCACACTCCTCATGCCCCAGGGTCCCCATCTGCAATGGGTAAGGCCCCTCGCTGTCATGCAGCCCTTAGGGGCTGGGCAGTAAGAGTCATTATTGATATAGTGCCCACGAGTGAGCCAGGTACTGCAGAGACAGAACAAGGGGCTGCCGGCCCTGGATGGGCTCCTAGTCTGAATGCAGACAAGGCTCATCATGGGGAGCAGCAAACGCTAGGGGGAGTTGGTGTGAGGGTCCCAGTGTGGGGCCGCCCAGTCCCTGGGCCTGTCCTTTGCCTTTCTGGGTCTGACAGAGAGTACTGTAGTGACCGTGTTGGCTCCATACTGGGCCCTGCATCACCCTCAGTTCAGCATCCAGCCAGCAGGGGACTCTGTACCCCCAGGGCATGGTGCAGGGCAGATGCAGCCTGAGATCGGGGGGAGCTGGAGGCTGCTGGGGAGCAGGAGCAGCCTGAGAGCTGGAACAGGGACTCTGGGAACCAGGCGGGAGGCACAGCACCCTGTGCTCACTGTTCACTCCAGGTTCTCACTCAGTGACACAGGCTCCGCTGGGGTCAGACACTGTAGTGAGGGGCCCACACAGACAGACTGCAGAGAGTGAGGCTCTGTCTGCATGGGGAAGTGGTAACAGTTCAGTTAAACAGGTGCCACTTTTGCACTCGTTATGGGGTAGGACCATGAACCACACCCCCCAAGCTGGCTCCTGGTGACCCTGCAACAAGTGCCTTCCCTCAGCTTCCCCTCTTCAGCACTCCTTAAATTACAATCCAAAAGGTCTGAGACAAAAATCCCCTGCTGGCATCTACTTTGAGTCCAAATAAACATCAAAATAAGATAATTTCTTTGCTCGGTTTCAGCCCCGGCTCTTACTCTAACTCCTCCCTCTCCTTGAGTCAGGAGTCCTCAGCCCTCCTTCCTGGATCTGGGGTCGGGTCAGACTGTACCTTTGTTCTCTACAGCTCTCACCTACAGTTGCTTTCTCCAGCCAGGTGCAGTCACCGAGGCTTCTGCCCTGCTGCTGCCATGGGTGTCACATCTAGGGCCTTGTCTAAACTATCCCAATAAGTCGACCCAAGTTACACTGCTCCAGTTAAGTGAATAACGTAACTGGAGTCGACATAGCTTAGGTCGACTTACCACGGTGTCTTCACTGCACTGTGGCATCCCGTCGACTTCCCTTACTCTTCTCCGAGAAGTGGAGTACCGGAGTCTATGGAGAGCACTCCGCCACAAAGTTAAACCCAATGAGTCACGTCCGCATGACACTGAGACAGTCACACAGGGGTTTGCTCCGGGATCACTACAGCAGTGTTCAAAGTGATTTCAATTAACCCTGTGATGCTTCCTCCTGTGGCCAAGCCCTGGGGCCCCATGAGTGGAGCAGGCTCTGTGGGGACCGAGACCTCATAAGCCTGCTTGTCTGCAGCATGGAAATCTGGCCTGTCCCATCCCTCAGGCCCACATATACATGCTTTCAGCAGTGCAGAGACGTCACAGCCACGATGTGGGTCAGACTGGACTGGAGCAAGACTGACCACTGTGACGTCCTGCACCGAGATCACAGACATAACAGTCCCAGCAGTGCACACAGCCCCCAGTGCTCCTGCCCCATCATTGATGGCTCTGACAGCTCAGGGCACTAGCTCTGTCACCTGTTGAGCTGGCTGCATCCAGGCCAGAGAGCAGCATGGGTGGGTCACAGGTCCCCTCTCCTCCCAGAGTGGGAGGGGGGTGAGTACCAGCCCTGGCCCCTGATCCCCAAGGAACATCTGTGTATTTGCCAGGTGCGCAGACCTCTCTGGGTGGAGACACTTTCACACTGGCTCAGGAATCGGTGCTGGGAGA